AAAATTCACTAAATATCAAAAATACAAAAAATACAAAAAAATTAGTACATTTTGTATTTTTGTGTATTTATTAATTTTTTAAAATATTTTTTCACAAATAATTTACTATTTAGATACATCTAAGTAAGGTACATCAAAAAAAGTAAAAAAATTGCTTAAAATTTAAAAAATATTCACTAAAAATAAAAAAAAATGAAAAATAAAAAACTCAATTTTCAGAAAACTGAATTCAGAAAATTAAAATCAAACACACTGATTATTATTTACCTCCTAAATTATCCCTTACGATTTTCTATTAGGTTTAACAATGGTTGCAAGACTAATCAGGTTTGGATGTACAACTCGTGATAATGTCCACCCAAATTGCACCAAAGAAAGAAAGGGTTAAGCTTATCTTTTCAACAAAACCTCAATTTCTAGGGAAGGCAACCCAAGCTTAAATATATTAATCAACTTGGGTTTTCCATCAGATTTAACGATGGTTGCAAGAATAACTATACAGCTCGTGACTGTGTCCACCCAAATTGTAACAAAGAAAGAAAAGGTTGAGCTTCACTTTTCAATACAACCTCAAATTCTAGGGAAAGCAAGCCAAGCTTAAAATACTTACTCGATATTAGTAAGCTTGGGCTTTTATAGTTGCATATCTATACAAAATATATCAAAACCCAGGAGCAACTATGATTTTTTTTACCACTACTTTTAACATGAACCATGATATAACCTAAGCCAACATTGGATAAGCCCACCAACACGCCCCGCTCCTCCTAAAAGAGGGGGCAACATATTGCTTTTAAAGGGAGTGTGGATGAAGCCAACCAAGTTTTCATATAAGAAAGAAATACATATATATATATTGAGAGCTCCATATTTTCCTTTCTTTTTTCGCCTAGGGTCGGGGAGTTTTGGGAGTTGAGAACGTACAAGTAACTTTATCCTATAGTTGATTTTGGATCTTCTTTTCTTTTTTTTTTGATAAATGCTTTTGGATCTTCTTTTTGACATAAAACAATAAATCATTTTGTTTCTGAAATACAAGTTAGACAAAAAAATAATAATAATGAGTATAAGTCTCAACCTGAGGTGAAAATATTTATCAACTTCAACCCCATTTAAAAACTTTCAACTGCTTCCAACATAGTCATACACATAAAAGACATTAGGAGAGAATGAATGCTTTCTTATATCCAAACAAGCTTTAGCAGTACCAATGAAGTATAAAAAAATAAAAACAAGAAAAATAAAAGCACTAGGAAAAGAAAATTATAACCAAATTTTCCCTTTCTGTTTCCAAATCCCCCAACCAAACACACAGAGTAACAATTGCAAATTAATCTCTTTTTCTCTCTTAATGCATCAACCCAAAAACCCATGAGAATAATTCATCAATAAAACAATAATTACCTCACAATTGCCATGCAATATAGCATCGTCAGCATCTCCTCCGAGTCGAAAGCATCATCACCAAGGTCAACTCTACAATTGACAAAGACAATTCCTCGGTATAATAATAAAATAAATAAACACACAACATTCAAGTTTATTTCAGTTTGGAATATTGACCAAAAAAAGTTTGGGGAAAAAATTCATTACCTAAAAAAAGGATCTTTTTGCTGAATTTCAACAATTGAAGCGGTTACTTCAATCACAACAGGAAGACACCCTCTACTTCGCCACACCGTTATCTGGAAAACCCCAATTGTTCATGCTAAAATTTGTAATATCATTAACACTATGTTTGGCAACTTGGAGAAAAGAAAAGAAAAGAAAAGAAAAGAAAGGATTACTCAAGTTATAAGAGGAAAAAAAAGAAAAGAATTGATTGTTATTTTTTTTATTTTTGTTTGGATAAAGAAGAAATAAAAAAAAATAATTGCGATTTCTCTCATTCTTGTTTAGCTAGATTTCATTAAGAGAAAAGAAAATAAATTATTTTATGTTATATTACCAAAATAACATTTTTATATTTTTAATTATTTTATTTCCTTTATTTTTATAGGGACAAAATTAGTGTTATGAAAATAATGGTTTCTTTTCTCTCTCAATCTCTCCACTTTTGGGAAGATTGAAAATGAGGCTTATAAGAGAAATGAGTTTCTCTCCATTTCTTCTTATTTCTCTCCACTGAAGTTATCCAAACAAATAAAAAAAATACATATCTCTTCATTTCTTTTCTTTTCTCTCCAAATCACTCAATCCAAACACAGCGTAACCTCCGTTTGTTTCTCGAGAAAATTTTCCTGAAAAATAGGAGTTTTATGTTAGCTGAGGCAATGGAGTGTGGGGAAGAAGAGAAGAGAGAGTCTCTGATGAACTCCCATTCATCCCAGGTAAGCCATGGGACCAACTTGTAGTTGCATGATCGGTCGATATTGACATCGAAGCTGCTCGTGGTTTCCACAAACCCTAGCAATGACTCCATTTTAATTCACTGTTTACGATTAAGCGCTCGGCAATGCCGTAACCACTTAATTGGAATTCCGTTGGAGCTAAATTCCACTATTCCAGCCCTCTTTTACCTAAAACTAAGCGGGCGGCACACCAGAGGGGTGAAATCGGTCCGGTTCCGCCAGTTATTCTGCCACACGTTAGTGCTACTATTGCCAATAATTTGCCAATCAAATTATGATTACGTAAGAAAAACAAACATTATATTGTCATAGATTAAAAGAGTGAGTTCAAATTTTATAAAAAATGAGTTAAAACTTTCTAAAATATATATGCTTTGCAAAAGATGCGTCAATAACATGTTTTCAAACACGTGTTTGCCCAAACTTCCTCATCATTATTTTCCAAAAAATCTTTGTATCAACTTGTATGTATCCCCAATAAAAAACATGCACAACAATTTGGTAATTTGTGGAAAAAAATATATATATATATATATATATATATATATCTGGTAATTTATGGAAACAAAAAAAAATATAGATTGGTATATTTGTTAAAAATATACATATCAAAATACTTTGAGATTGAAATTACCTTATTACATCCCCATCAAAGCAAGCTAGTTGTATTTCTCCTTTTAAGCTCCATAAATTTTTCGATCCAATCCTAAAAAAATCCATATTTCCAATTATTATTAGATTGAAATTTTATATAAAAAAAATCTATATATATAATCAATAGAAATAAATCTATATGGTTACCTTTTGATAAAACATGATTTAATGAACATTGAACACTACAACAACACTTCAAAGTATGAGGAAAAAAAAAACTATTAGGTTACTATTTATAGATATTTTCCTTTTTGTTGTTTTTTTTTAACTAACACATATCTAACCATATATATATCAATTAAAAATAT